ATATTATATTAAATTTTTTCTTTTACCCTGAACAGGGTATATTAAGTTTGTCACGAGTGAAGGAAAGGTCGGATCACTATGTTGATCTGAGTCGATTTAGCTATGTCCGTCTGTACGAACTAGTTCCTGAGTTTTTAAGATATCGTTTTGAAACTGTGCAAACGTCATTTTCTCTTCAAGAAGCTACTTATTTGTCGGAAGTGCCGATATCGGAGCACTATAACATATAGCTGCCATACAAACTGAACGATTGGAATCAAGTTCTTGTAGGGAAAACTTTCACATTTGACAAGATATATTCACAAAATTTGGTATAGATTATTTGCTAAGGCAACAACAATTGCTAAAACATATAGCTGCCATACAAACTGAACGATCGGAATCAAGTTCTTGTATGGAAAACTTTCGCATTTGTCATGGTATCTTCACGAAATTTGGCATGGATTACTGCTATTTTCAGATCCGATTACTATAGCATATATATAGCTTCCATACAAACTGAACACATAGTTACTAACCGAAATGCACCTGTGAAGGGTATTTAGCTTCGGTGCAGCCGAAGTTAACGTTTTTTCTTGTTTTAATTCTTATCTACAAAACATTTCTAACCTCCAACCATTTTAAAATCCTCTCAAAGTCGAGTTAAGCTCTTTTGCATATACGCATGTAATAAATGTAGCGAACTAAAGTTTATGTAACGGAAGTTAGTCAATATCAAATTTTTCCATACCCAACACACACAGTTTGACGTGCACTGCAGTCGTTCATTGTAGTGCAAATAAATTGGTTTGACACTTGGCTTAGCACATTTTCATGCTACCAGGCACACAGTAGTGGCATACTTATGAATATATGTATATTTTAGTAATACACTGGTGGTCACATAATTGACAATATAATAAAGTTAAAGTATGTAAATCTTGTCCATCAACTAAATCTCCAATTATTGGCAACAACTTCAAGGCATATGCCATGCCAAGTTGCTAGTGGGTGAGTGAAACATTTATGTAACATTATCCTAGCTTCTTGTGCAAATTGCCGGTTCTGGGTATGAGCCAATCTGTAGACGCTTACCCTGCTGTTTCCAAACAGGGATCACATCGCCTCACCTAGCAGTATATTAAAATTTATCAATATGCTGGGGTTAAGTAAGTCGTTGTGACTTAGGAGAGGGCACAATAGACCTTAGGTCGCGGTGCAGTCCTCATTTATTTATCTTATCTTATCTTAAATCTCCAATTTAGAATAACAAAACTTTTAAATATGGGTACTAAAAAGAATTTTGCCCTAGATCTGCACGTGTCAAAAAAACTTAAAGTGCTGAATTCAATTTGCAAAGGAGCATATCGGAAAACTGTTAGTATTAACGAATCCAATTTATTTTTTTTCACGCAAATTTGTCGCAAAAAAGGAACTGCGATACACTTTAGAAATTTTAAAGCATGGCATGACCCCAAGCACCATGCTAGTGTTAAAAGTTGGCTTTCGTTCAAAAACATTACTGGTTAGGGTTGGACTGCCCAGAGTCTGGACTACAATCCATTGAAAAACCTCTGAGCAGATGTTAAGGTAGTAGTCTGGTAAGTTTGGAGGGTAGTTTTTTATTGGACAATAAAAATTAATTATGTTGAATATTTAGAGTGTTTTTATTTACATATTGAAAACATAAAAAAAATGTATTTGAAAAAATTTAGTACTTTATTACAATTAATATTGTCACTCGAAGTTAAAACCTCAAAAATATGCACGTGGGTGGCCCGTGTGATTGTGGCTCTTGATGTTATCTGAACTTGATTATACTTAATCATGGACATGTAATTCTGGGCGGAACTACTGAAATTAAATTTCAAGGGTAAATAACAAAATGGCGGACTTTGAAAAAAAAGTCCTTTTATTTTAGCAAGGAAAAGGTTGTAAAATAAAAAGTTAAGGGTAAAAAAAAAATTCTTGTTAGTTCCGACGAGAACTATAAGTGTGTAGAACAGCCTGTTAAAATTTGAGAGCAATCGGTTCAGTGGAAAAAAAGTTAGTACCCGCGCCGACCAGAAAAACAATGTTTTGAGAAAAAGGCGTTTAAAATCGGTCGACCTTAAAAATTGGACTCCGAGGTGCTCTAGGAAACTCGTTATAAATCCAGAAATATTTTGAATTTAAGTCTGAAATTTTCACAGTATATTCTCCAGACATTGTACTTTCACATTAAGCAAAAAAAAATTTCGATTTTTTGAACCCAAGTTACCAGACTACTACCTTCAAGGGGTTTACAAAAGAAAACACACAAAAATTGTGACGAATTTTTCGAAAATTAATGTTTAATGTTTTCCATTGACTCAAAACGGTTTCTCCGGAGCGGTTGTTTGAGTTTGCTGAATGGCCTGAAGTCATACGGAGCTAATTCAGGCGAATACGGTGGTTGCGAGACGATATTGGTTGAAAATTTGGCGAAAAACTCACGAGGAATGCAGTATGCAGTATATTTTACCCTTATTAGTCTATTAAAAGAAAATACATTATTTCAAGGCAATAAGTATCTCGTGCTTTAAAAGAGCGATCGGGATCCGCAATACGACGTAAGAAATATAAGGTTTGCTATTAAAAAAACTTTTTAGGAAGTTATGTGATTGCTTGACTCAACTTTAAACATGGACACCGGCAAAGAGAAAAACGCCACATATAACAGAACGAATGGCTGCTGAATCCCAACAAAATTGATTAATTTCTGAAACGGATGATTACTATTAATGAGAAGTGGGTAAATTATGACAACGTCAAGCGAATTCGCACCGATGTGGGTCGACATAAACGGGTGCCAAGCCATGATTGACGGGAATAATCTACTACTATGAGGGGAAATAATTGAAAATATAATGTAATTTAATGCTACTATGAGCACCCTGTATATAATTATACAAAAAACATTTCTGCCAGAAAGTAAAATACCTCAACACCTCATCCAACGGTATTATTCCCCAAAACATGTAATAAATTGCTTTCGAGAATCTTCATGCTTGTGCTAGAGGAATTTTAGCTTTTCATCATTCGTTGACTCAAGGCATTATTGTAGCTGTGTTGGATATCTTGGATGTTTTCGTCAGAATCTTAAATATATCTTATTAATGATAAGTGTACGAGGAATAGAGGGCGCAATAGAGGTTCTTAGTCTCCAAAAACGCAACGCTTAGCTATCCCATTAAGCAGATATGGGATCTTGTGACTCTTTTCTGTTGGCAAAACTAAAATATTTACGAATTTATTTCAGAATATAACCTCTATTCCTGCATTAGTGCTTTTCCTCTATCATAGCGTTTTTAAAAATGTAAATAACAAAAGGCCAAGTGGGGTCCAATCCCACTCACAAGCCAGATCATAATTTCAAAAAACATTAACATCAAATTACGACTACAGCGACATAAAGTGCACCTATAAAATTGTTAACATGAGCTAAATGCCATCGGCAGCTGTGTTGTGCTGTGCTGACAGC